CTAGATCCAAATCTGACTCTGATCTGATTAGACTCTGGAGAAGGAAACTTTTATCACAGAAAAACTCCCTTTACAGTGTGAATGTGGTCCTGGGTGGGATTTACACGACGGGAGGAGGAGCTGCCAGGTTGCTAAGAAACAGGATTCTGTCTGTAGCTGTGACTACTACATCCTGTATATGTGAAAGTGTTGATGCCTTTTGCTGACACTGTCACAGAGCTGCAAATTTAACTCTCAATTAGCGAACATATATCCCGCATTACTATGCGTGTACTGTCATGTGTTGCCCCTATGTGCACTAAACCATCTGACATTTTCTATAATTTTGTGCCATAATGCTGCTGCTGCCTCTCCGATAGAGACTGAAGCTGTGTTCTCTGTCCCGTACCTGGACTTTTGGCAGCACAGAGATGACCGAGGCCACGATGCAGGACAGCATGTTGGCGCTGATGAAGAACTTGTTGATGAAGCATCCATCCGGTTTGGTGTAGAAGATGAAGAACAGGACGACAGCGATGAAGGACAGGATGTAGTTCAGGATGGTGATGGCCAGCAACGCTAACGAAGCAGAAGCCAGAAAAGAGCATTATTCATTTATTTTTGGCCTTTTTGCCTTTATTAGATAACACCCTAGAGAGAGAGAGAGAGAGAGGAGAGTAGGGGAGAAGAATGAGGGAAGGACTTGCAGTAAAGGGTCATGAGCGGGATTCGAACCCATGACCGCTGCATCGGGGACGATAGACATGGGCTGCCAGCTCAAGCGGCGGCCCAGAAAAGAGCATTTTAACACTGTGAGAACATACGGTCTAATCATACATTTGGACGTCGTACACAGCGTGTCACTGGGACACGGCCTGAGTCACTGACCTGCATACCAGCCTCTGGAGTTGCCCTTCTCCATCTTGTCCACCCACGACTCGTTCCAGGAGTGGGCAAAGTCCACCAGCAGCACCAGCTGGATCAGAATGAAACAGAACGCTCCGGCCGAGCCGATGACAAACCACGCTGCGACAACACCGGTACACGAGTTATTCATCTCTCATATGACATCAAAAGTCTGTGTATAAAGGATATGATGAGCTGAGGGACTGAGAGTTTGAGATATGAAGCTCTTACTGAAGGTGAAAGGCCCATCTGGGATGTAAAAGGCACCGACTGTAACCGCCACCAAGGCAGCGAACTTGAAAAACCAAAATCTGAAAACAAATGGATCACGTCATCAGAAACGCCGCTTCAGTCAGACAATCAGAACATTTTTCAGTCGAGGCTCCATGCAGCTTTCTAGAAAACTGTGATTTTAATATGAAATATGTCAAACATTTGTTTATAACTTAGTTTACATTTATCAGAAAACAACTGGCTGCTCATCAGACTGAATCAGAGACTATAGGTCATCAATGACATAAAGGACATTCGCGGTTACACTTTTTCAAACTTCATGGACTAAATTATGGGTCATAAATAAGACTCTTCAGATATGTGGGCAAGTGGAGGACAAAGGCCAGCTGCTGAACAACATGTTGTATAACTGATCTGGTGTCACAGTTCACAGTTCTTTCAGGCTTAGAGACGACTGACTGGGTGAGTTTATAATTAACACGTATAAAAGCCTCTTTAATTGCCTGCTTGGTGTATCTGCACCGACCACTAGAGATGTGTTACCATCTATAATGTCCCCCAGTGATTTCTTATTTACTTTACTGAGCAGAAAGAAACTGACCAACTAAGCAGCAGCAGATATTAAAATCAGCTTTACTATTAAAATGATGACATACATCAATAATTAGAATCCAATAATTATCAATAATGAGTACTTTTATTTTTGGCAGCTAAAGTATATTCTGATGCTTTGATTCTTTGACTTGAATGCAAGACTTTTATTCATAACAGAGCATTCCTACACTTCACTACACTGGTTTGACTGTTTTGAGTGTTTTCTGAGCGTTCTCTTACTGTTACGTGAGCCAACTAAGCTAAATGTATATTTCTGTTTAACTGACAGGGAAGTAGGTTGTGAGAATCGAGCCTATCTGCCCAAAATATCTAGACATGAATCTTGCAGCTCTGTGTCGGTAAAGCTGCTGCCATCCTTACCCGCTGTGGATGGCGGCACGAGGGTCTCTGCTGTTCTTGATGTTGATCATAAGGATGGAAAACAGCAGGAACCACATGCTCATGCCGAAGCAGATGCGGTAAACTGCTTTGTAGCCCACAAACATCTCGCAGTTGACATCTGCCTGCAGGCCGGGGATAGAAGAACCCGCACCGTCCTCACAGAAGCCGGGGATCTGAAACAAATCGCAGCGAGTCACACTTTTGCAAAACATCGAGAAGATCTGGAACTGAACTGTATACGAGCTCGAGGGAGGCCGGACGTGTAACTCAGCCTCGAACCAACCGGATTTCAGTCAAACCAGGTTAAAGTCAAAACAAATGCAGCTGGATTCCAGATGATGGCCAGAGAAAATGTGCTGATTGTGTCACTCTATGGATTTTGTAAGATAAAGCTAAATCTAAATACTGGTGCAAAAGAGCTGCGGAGAGGAAACTATTTATTCCATCAGCTAAAACACAAATAAGTCATTTAACAGGAACCAGAAGGAAAGTAACAGCAGAAAATCACTTTAATATAATAACATCCACCAAATCATCCTGCAGAATAATACTGTTTAATGTTTTGTTATTTTTAGTAATCCCACTATTTCCTGACATTGTTCAAACCAAACAGTTAATTGTTTAATCCAGGAAAGATGATAGAATATAATAATAAAACAATAAATAGTTGAGGACCTACTTTTCTTAACACCTGAATAAATACATATTCATAATTGATCATTTATTGCTAATTATTCAGTAAAAATACTTCATCACAGCTCCAGTGCAAAGACACACAATTCATACGTATATCTATAAAAGTATACTTGCAAAAAATAAAAAAAACCCTGTTTACTAATTGAAAAACATCTCAGTTGATTTTACTGAGAGCAAATCTTGAGCCACTGCTCTGTATTAGCAGCACTGTGCACCAGACCTAGTTTTCCTCATGACTTAATGGATCAAATCTGTGCCAGCGACTCTTCCAGAGCACCTGGTGACCTGTTTAGATACGTACTGGATGATAACAGCCTACAGATATATGAGTTTAACTGTACTGTACAGTAGAAATGAGTCAGTACCTCCTGCAGAGAAAAATCTATACACATAGAAATCCATTATCGAGCTTTACTGTGAACACAAATGTCTTCTCCTGTGTTTCTCACCCTTCTGAGCTGCTGCTCTACGCCCGGTGACAACATGATGCAGGCGACGATGGTGCCCAGCAGCAGGATGAAGGCGTAGATGATCCTGGTCACCGTGGAGTTCCTGCTGTTCGGACAGCAGCTGCACATCAGACATGTGGCGCTGCTGCACAGGCACGGCATCTAGAGGGAGGAACAAAACACTCACTTATAGCAACAGAAAAGAGGAGAAACTAGTAAAAAACGTAAGAAAGAGTCAAACAGATCAGTGTTGGTGCTTCAGTGCAAATGCAGCGCAAAACGTACTCAGTAAGACAGATTAAGCTACAATCGTCCTCACATGTATTCATATCCTCCCATTAAAGGAGGAAAAAAACCAGCTGCCACTGAAATAAGCTGAAATTAACAAAAGTAATAATAAATAAAAATTGAATGAACATCATGACATTGCTTTTGAATTGTGGTTCAACAGAAATATATATATATACACACACACACAAACAAACAAGCAAACAAGCATGATGGGACCCGTAAACTAATATTTAGTTGAACAACCCTTTGAGCCGATCACTGCAATCAAGTGTTTTCTGTAGCTCTCAGTCAGACTTCTGCACCTGTTGACAGGTGTTTAGATTCACTGCTCATCAGCAAAGTGCTCTGATTTGTCCGGGACAGTTTTGTTTTTTTAAATTATTCTTTTCAAACACAATTCCAAAGCAATGTCTTATTTAAAAAAATGTAAATTTAACAATTAGTTATTTATTTTTATTTTTTTCAGTTTCTACTTATTTGAGTGACTGATGTGAATTTTGGCTTTTCTTTAATAGAAGGGTATGAATAGATTTGAGGACGACTTAAAATCATTTTGTTTAAAACCTTTACAGAGCATAAAATGACACATAGCAAGCACAAAAGAAAAAACATGTAGGAAATTATTACAATCATCTATAGGTGTTATAAATCGTTCTACTCTCTTATCGTGCACACATCCTCCAGTGACTTCTCACAGAGGGACACCTTTTATACACAAATCAGCCAGAACAGTAATCACTAATCACATCTGGTTCTGGACAAACTTAAGTCTTTTAGAGCATCAACCAGCTTTTGGAAAGTCGTGGCAATTCTCTCTTTTATCCAGATGTGACAGCTGAAGGTTTTTCAGGTGATATGAGATCTGATAGTTTGGTTGTGCTTTAGGGGCTCCAGAGTCGAGGCATTGTGACGGTTGTGGCCTTCAGAGCGCAAATCGTCTGATATCAAACACGTCAGCTGACATTTCAATAGTAACAAGAACTTTAACTAAACTTTCCAACAATCTCCACCGTTCATAAACACATAGCTCCACTGCTTTCGGTGCTCCCCTCCAGTTAACACCCTAAATGTCTCCCAGTTCCTACCTTGAACCGACACAAACATAAAGCACATCAGTTTGGTCTAATATAAAACTACTTTATACTTTATTCAGCACTTACACTCGAACTGAGGCTCCAGCTTCTTTTAGTGAGTCCAGTTTAAATGAGAATTTAATTTGAATATTTAAAATTCACCATCAACTATTCCAATTGGTTCAAATTTCAACAGTATTCTGTCCTACAATAAGAGAATATGTGCAGCAGTGATACAGAAACATCAGGTCACAGAAAGGTTCCTGTGTCATGAGAAATGAGGCTAATGACTTTTCTCTGCTTGTAGATTCAGTAAATCAGATTGGACACATGTGACATTTGCTATTCTCAGATGAAGGACTGTGAAAGGAAGAGGGCTCCTGCTGCTTTACTCCGTCTTCTCCGGGTTTCTGAACGCTGCTGACTGCATGCAAACGCACATGATGCCCTTCAGACAGGTGACGTGAAAACAAACAACCAAAAAGCCGGGCAAGTGGAAGCAACTCAGTTTGGTCGTGATAAAGAACTGAATTTAATTAGTAAAATCCAAGAATGTAAGATTTACCATCTGATTACACCAGAGGTCACGTTCAGTCGCATAAACTGATGTCATATTTTCACAATAATGATTTAGCATAAATTATCTATTATAAGTTACTGAAACGAGACCATTGCCAAAGATTTTGTCAACTTTTTAAATTGTTTTTTAAGGTGAGTGATGAACTGACTAACCCTAACCCTGTGAATCTATCTGTTCAATCAGTCACAAGTGTTTACAGGAAAGAGCCGGTCAGGAGTTTAAGCCACAGTTTACCTCCTGAACTCGTACACGAACACATAAACCCCACACACACACTATGTGCCTCTTCAGACACCTTATGATCAGATGTGTCTCTTTGGTGCTATAATGAAAGCATAGATCTGCTTTATAGTAATTTTTTCAGAACGTTGTTTAAATAGATAACTGTTGAACAGCTGAGATGAAGCTCCACCAGAATATTCCTCCATAAGTTTATAACTGTAATTCTAATTTAAACAAACCAGTGAAACAACTAAACGTCCATGTCACATATTCTGTGTATTGTTTTATCAAAAACAGCTCAATAACTTCCTTAAATTGCAGTTATTATGAAATGTTTCTCAAACACAAAATACTGTCCATTTGTATGAGACTATTTTGAATAATTTAACCACAAACAGCTCAAAGACAGACGTCCAGATCTGTAAAGAGAATTCAAGTTGCTCCAGTTTTCACTTTATATTAACAACATGTTAAAAAACTAAAAAACTACAGAGCTTTAAGGCACAGAGGAGGAAGATCAGAGCTGTGATGGAACTTAGTTCAGAAATAGTTTTAAAAATCAATGAACTGGGCTCCTGCTGCTGCTTTCTATTAGTTTTATCATCCTTAGTAGAATCAGCAGCTTCATCCTTTAAAATCTGTCTGAAGCTTATCCTTATTTCATGCCGTTGCTTTATTACACCTTTATTAAATCTTTATTTTTAGCCCTATAGTACTTTTGTGCTTCTTTTTATGCCTCATCTGTATGTAGCTGCTGTAACATGTAGATTGCCCCGCTGAGGGATCGATAAAGTTTATCTTATCTTATCTTACAAACAACTTTTTGCTCTTCTACTGCGCATAGGCAGGCCTTCTTTTAAAATAGCTGCATATTTATTTAAAGATGTGTGTCTCTGTTAAGCACACTTACAACTGACTGGAGTCAAGAGATAAGAAGCCCGGAAGACTGTCAACAAGTTAATACCCTTTGGAGCCAGACAAGGTCGGCTTAGTGGGACTGGGCCACGGTAATGTGTTCCACACACGTCACAGCCGGGCCACGCTTCAACCCGACCTGAACCACGAGGAAACATCCGGAGACGGTGTTATCAGTGTAAAATCAACAGAAGCACGGGTTTTAACTTTGCTCCAGGAGTTGGGACAAAGCAGAAAGTCAGAGGAGGTCAAACACCAAAGAATTTAGTCATAATTTAACTCAGTTATCAAGAAGAAATCTGAAATATGGGCTTTTGAAATGGGGGCTTTTCCTTTTCTCTATTTGGAAAATCACCAGAATTTCAACACATCAGATTATCAGACAACTAGAATGTCTTCTTTGACATTTTGTATGTATTAATAAATAGATTAATACATAATAATATCTTCATGGTATTTGTTCTGTTGTTTTTTCTTTCGTTCTTGCCTCTCACTTGTAAAGTCCCAGCAGCCATTACAGTGGCATTATTCCTGTTTGTGGAACATGCTGTGGTCTCACAACAAAGCATTGTTAATCCAATTAATCCAGTGTGAGCAGATGACTGAGTGTGTAAGAATTAACCCTTTGTTCCTGCTCTGGACTCAAGTGAGAAACAGCTTATTTATTAGCAACCTTATTATCATTATTATTACTATTATTACAGTCCTGATTGTCAAAAAGAATTACTGGTAGTTTCTCTTTGTAGAAATATGATTTTAAAAAAAGGAAAAAAAAAAACAAATGTCACGTATCCTCCGCAGCTTTTGGGTTTCTTTGATTACAAGATGTTTTCCATTAAATACGTTCAAATATAATGCCAATTATATGTATATCAGCGCCGAATTAACAAATAAACCCAAATAAGTCATGAAAATTTGAAATTAAGTTCGGATTTTCCCCAAAAGCCTGAAAAAACAAAAGCAAAAATTAAAACCGGAGCTTTTCCAACCGAGTCTGGCCCCCCTCTCCTATACAAAACACAAGCTGCCAGGCGAAACTCGAGCACAATGAAGCGATTCAATATAACCCAAAATAAAAGCTGCTTTGTAAAAAACAAGTTATTAATAAACTGGAGCTGAAGCACATGATGCTGGTGGAGGAATGGGAGGTTAAAAAAAGTGGATATTTCAGAGGAGGTTTTTTGGTTCTCGCCAGGAGAGCGTAATGCCACCTGTTGCCTTTATATATAACATTTTTTATTTTAAATCAGATTAAAACTCAGGTCTCACCCAGCTTGCGAAGGAAAAGGCTCCCAGAACAGCTCCCATGGCTGCCCGGTGTCGGTACCGGAGCGGACAGTCGGTAAATCAGTGCTCTGTGTCCCGTTACTGCTCCTCTGCCCCTCCAGGGTGATTCTCAAACACCGAACAAATAAAAAACCCAGAGTTTTTTTCTGCTGTGAGACGACTGAGTGCGACAGAAACACTTTAAACTCCTGAACACAGTGAGTCCTGCCGGTTTGTTTGGCTTCTGAAGTCCAGCAGGTGGATTTTTTTCTTCTTCAGTGCGTCAGGCTGCGCTGCGACGTGATGACGTAAGGAGGGTGTGCCCGCAAACCCGGAAGTACCACTTTCAGCACCACACTTCCAGGAGCTGTGGGTTTAGCATCACCTGCTGAGTTGGATGAGAAGCACAGACCTCATTTCTGGCCGAGATGAATAACAGTCACAGTGTGAGTATTGGTTGTTAATCTAGCTTTATATGTTTTAATGTTTAAAACAAACAAACAAACAAACAAACAAAAATGTTCTCAGGTGAAACAAGTGCCACCTGTCTGCTACTGATTGGAAGTGATGAAGCAAGTTAGCTGAGCATGGAGGGGTAGATCTGTTGGATGCTTTAGGGGCAGCTTGTTTCAATTAAAAAAAAATTAAAGTGTGGTCACCCAACTTTTTATAGGCGAGTTTGTTTCTGCTCGTGTGCATTTCAGGTTTATTGTGCTTGCAAATGATAAAAATGCTCTTTATTCTGCTTCAGAAAGTTTTAGTGATTCATGTATTGGTTCATTTTGTTTCTACTGTTTGTGCTTTATGCAGCGACTGCTCAGCGCGTTGTGCATTGTTTCCTGCTGTCCTGTTTGTTTTTGTTTGTAAGATTTGTTTGTTTTAGTCTGCATGAGAGACAGTATTAACTTTTATTTTTTGTTAATTGTTTTGTTTGAGTTATTTCCCCAATTGTTGTCTTGCTGCAGCCTTCATCCCTGCTGGTGCTGAGACCAGGCTGCTGTTTGTTGGTTGTATTTATGAGTTGATTTATTGTGGTCATGCTTTAATGTGCAGTAGCTTGTGATCTGACAGCCCTGGTGTTGTTGGGCTGTCATGTGTGAACAGGGTAATAATAGAGAATATCATTAGATGCTTTTTGGATGAACAGGATTTTGACCTCATCATATGTGCATTTTGGACAATAAATGTCAGCATTCATACAGACATGTTCCTTGCTGGGTAATGTGTTTAATATTTAGCCTGTAGAGTAAGGTCTTTATTTGGTAAACCTGCCAAAGTGTGAGAAACAAACTATGTTTTAACTTGTCATTAAGGCACCGCAAACTTTAGCAAATGATTTCTTCCTGCAAAACCAAATCTTGTGTGCTTATTTATTTGTTGGAGCCATCAGCATCAGATATATCAATGCTATATCTGTTATTGTGTGATGATGTGTCTCTCTCAGGAGTTGCTGAGATCTTCATCGGTGGGCCTCAGGGGGGTTGTTTACTTTAATCTCTTTGTGAATGAGGGATGTTGTTGTGCTTTTTATTGATATATTGAGGTCTAGTTACTACAAAACCCATGACATGTGATTCCCTTGTTTGTTTTTTGACTTATTTATGCAAAACACACAAATTGTCCAAATGCAACTCTTAGCACCAAAGTTATGTTACAGAAGGTTGTATGTTGGGTGAAATAAGCCTTTGGAATCACAAGTACTTAAGACATAAATTGAAATTTTGTCTTGAATAAACTTTAAAAAACCTAACTTTTTAGAAAGCCCTGCTTGCGTGAATTAAGCTTTTAAAAGAACAGGTGCTTAGACACAAGCTTGTCCTGTGAGTCCGGTCCTAAAGTGAAGCTGCAGCCACATACTGTTGGTGCTTTTTTCATATATCAGTCAGTTAAATTCTAGACACAGGCCTACAGACTCAATAGAATATAATATGTCCTGAAAGGTGCAGCACATTTATACCTGTGGGTTCACAGTGGGCTTTGGAGCTTTGTTCTGTGAACTGGCAAATACAGTCCTTATGGTTTATGAGCCATCATGCAGCAGGCCCATGACTCCAGTTCAGCCAGAGAGCTGAGACTTATCAGCTCCTTCCATATGAATATTATTAGCTTGTTAAACACCAGGAGGCAGCGCTTGGAGGGAAGATTAAATGACACTACGATGGTTGGTGAAACTTTTTTTGGTTGCAGGGCACCTGTTGGCGCGCTGTTCTTTCTTTGTCTGTGTTTTAGCTGCAAGCTTCTAAATGAGATGCCTATAATCTCTATTGTGTTTTTTCATTGCATTTATCCTGTTATTTAGGCGGCAGATACCCCGGTAGGGTGGCAGCAACAGCATTTTATTAATGTGCTGGAAGGAGGAGGACTGATTATTCCCCAATTAGTCAAAAAGCTCTCTTTAATTCTTAAAAATAAATGAGTTCGGTATCCGCTGTCTGAAAGAATGCTCTCTATATTTTACCTTAATGAAACGACACATGCTCACTTTGATTGTGCATTTAATGAAACCTCTACAGGCTGCTTGGCAACAGCTAGTCACATATTATGCATTTGTGTCCTGACTTACCAGGCGCTGCATCACAGAACAGTGATTTTGCTAAGCTATGCTAATATTTGGTTAAACGTCCTTTGGCCATTTTCACCTCAGGTCGACACTTCTGAGAGCTGGTTATGAGCTTCTGGTTGTACCTCTGAACAGTGCTCTTGACACAAATGGTAGTTACACTAAATTTGTTGACTTTGGACTTAGACTTTTTTTCTTTGTTGCAGTCCACAGGTTTTTGATTTCAGTCAGGACTTTGGGAAGGTCAGTCTAAAACCTTCATTCCAGCCCGATTATGCCACATCTTTGGGGTCATTGTCTTGTCAGAACACCCAGCTGTGTCCAAGACCCAACCTTCTGGTTGATGATTTTAGATTTTCCTGAAGAATGTGGAGGTAGTCCTTCTTAATTTTTCAATTTGCTTTTTGTAAATCACTGGCACTGAAACAGCCCCAGAGCATAATACTGCCCCCACTGTGCTTGGTAGTAGGTTTGGCGTTCTTGGGGTTAACGGCCTCACCTTGTCATCTTCAACACATTTCTGGTTATTGTGGTAAAATTGCTTATTTTTTGTTTCATCTGACCACAGAACTTTCCTCCAGAAGGGCTTTTCTTTGTCCATGTGATCAGCAGCAAACTTGAGTGGAGCCTTCAGGTGCTGCTTGTAGAAGAAGGGCAGAGGCTCAGCTCATGCAGCCCAGCTGACTGTGGACACTGGCATCAGTGGTCCAGCAGCTTGTAGTTCACACAGACCTGCTTTTTGGTGATTCTTGGTTGACTCTTGACCATCCTGACTAACTGTCTCTCAGCAGCAGGTGAACCAGGCACTTTATACTTAGAGCTGTTTGTACAGATGATTTCTGGATCTGTAGCTGGTTTGAAATGGCTCCTAGTGACTTTACTGACTTGTTCCAGTCAATGCTTTGCTTTTCCAGATCTTTGCTGAGCTCATCAGACTTTCCAACTGTAGTGTTTATGGCTGAGTCTAAGGATTGTATCAGATGAGCTTTATTCAAACTGGTTCAGTTGCTGTAGTCAATAGTAATCACTCACAAAAAGTTAGGAGGCCGTGGTACGAAGAACATTTGATGAACACAGCTTTCTACATCACTGATGCTGATACTGCAAGTTGCTGTATGTGTATTTTTGAAGCAGCAGATTTGATCATTTTTCTATAAGACCAATAATAAATCTATGAAAGAACCAAAATGGACGATAATGTGACAAAGAAGCTGCGTCTATGTAATGAGCCAGTTCCTCACAAGCTCATGTCTGGACTAATGTGTGTCGTCGCTGCCACCTCCTGGAAAACAAGTGCAACACAAACAAGAGGTTGAATTTATTTCACTGAATAAGACCACGCATGTCCTCAGTACTACAAGGCATAATTGACTGTAGGACAGAACAAGAATTATCATGATCATGTCGTAGAGTGAAAGAAAACTTTACAGAAGATGATTAAAAAAAATCTGAATTAAAATGACCCGTTACATAACAGCCCGAGCCAAAGGAGTTTGTTGTTGGCTACAAGAACAGCAAACGGAACAGCACTCACGAAAACCGACCGGCACCATCACAACCTGAGTGAAATATTACGGGATGGCTATTACTGCACAGCACATGTTGCACAAAATGAAACCAGAAACTGTATTGCTGTAAGAACAAAATGTGTAAAATCAGCCTTTAAGTCAAACTGGATCCGTCCCTTTGCCTACAACAGCAATCCAGTCATTACTTTAACACCACGTCATTTAACACACTGGTTCCTCTCAATGTATTACATCATATCCTACATTACAGCATTTAGAGTGTAATTACTACAACACATTACACTAGAAATTATCAGTGGTAAAACCCCCATGCAGTGTTAATTGCTTTAGTGCAAATTTTGTTACAGTACAGTTTATTAACCAAACTAAATAACTAAATAATAGAACAATATTGCAGTCATGTCATTTGAACTAATTAAAAACCTTGTGTGCAATTCACTCTGTGTACAACTGCTTAGTTGTTAACGAGCTACACAAAAACACATAAAGGAAACGTGAAATGCATATATGCAATAAAACTGGTCTCGTGTTTTCTTGTCTACAATATTAGACGTAATGGCTACAAAATAGTTCCTCCAAAAAGTACGCACTACAAAGTACAATGCAGAAGTGTCACATAAGTCTCAAGGAATAACTCTGAGTACAGAAAGAGCCAGCCCCTCCGTTGTGCATACAGGCAGAGTGCTAACATGTGGGCCTCACCGTCGCTTACACCCAGCAGGGGGCAGTGTTATCTTTTACACGAGACATTCAGACTCTCACCCGTCGCTCTCAAGTGTTTTCATTGCTTCCTAAATATTGCGCTTCAGTCTGATTCAGGAGTGTAGTTCAGAAAGGAGGAAGGAGGAATCACTGTTCAGCCGTCTGGTGTCGCTCACGGCGGGCTACAGATACTCCTCTTCTTTGACGTAAAGGATCTCGTGGGCCGAGCTGGGAACCTGAAGGAGGCGGGAATCAAGAAGAAGAGTGGCAATAGATTTATTACCTTCAATACACAGAGTCCCTGTTTAAAATCTACATCAGATTTGTCACATTATATTATAACTCTAGCAGGCGATCACCATAGCAACCATACTTCATGCATCGCTAATCTATGCAAGGGATTAACGAAAAACAAAAGAACTTCTTTTTTTCCATTTACAGTGGCCTTTATATAAGAACAATATTGTTGTCTGAGGTGTCCCAATTTTAAAAACGTTAAGCTCCGTCCCTTATGTTCTGTCCAACACAATCATGTCACATACAAAACTTAAGGGTTGTATGTTGCCGACACCATAAACAACAAAATGCAGCTCATAATCACACTAAAAACATCCATCAGTTAACATTTATAATCAATTTTAATCAAGGTTCCATGTAACATAATACAAAAAAAACCACAGTAAATCCTGAGCTTTGCGTTTCCTAGGCAACGCGTCAGACAGGAAGCAGACAAGAGAAATTTCAACGAGCGACGTTCGTCTCAACAGCAGAGAACACAATGCCGGCGACATGACATTTATAGATATAATATCACATAGACAGTAAAAGAAAATGTAAAGCAGACACCATCAGATTGAATTCATCTCTGTATCAGTTTATGAAACCTCCAGTTGGTCCAAAACGCTGCAGCCGGAGTTCTGAGAGGAATCAGAGACCATTAGTCTTCATTGACTTCCTGTAAAATCACAATCGTTAATGACCGAGCTCCAGCTAATCTTCAGCACCTTATTGTACCGTGTTATCCGAACAGAGCACTTTTCTCAGGCTGACTTGGGGGTTCCTAAACTTTCCAAAAGCAGCAGTTTGGGTTCAGGAGGCAGGAACCGTCTCCACTTGTAGGACTGGGCTTATAGTTTGATTCTTTGATAAAACCCACTGGTTATGCTGCTGTGGGTCTAGACTGCTCACTGGAACCAGTGGAGCCTCCCTGAGTCTGGTTCTGTCGGAGGTTTCTTCTTGGTAGTTTTTCCTCTTCCTGCTTGTTCTGTTGGTATTACATTCTATTCATATAAAAAGAGCTATGAATGAAGTCTGATCAGTTGACTGATACAAACTGTGCTTCATATACTTTTTCAGTCACTTCGTCATCAGACAAGTGACATCAGATAAATACCAGTACTGGCCCGTTAAAACTACGCTGCAAACTGGGTCGTTATGTTGTGTTCAAGGCTATGTAGCAGGAAAATATTTAACAACAAGCACCGATGCAGTCTACCATCGTCTTCGCTGCTAATGCTGCTGAAATCCTGGCGAGGACCTGGTCTGCTGTTGTAGAAGGTGACAGATCTTCACACAAACCTTTCAGCAGTGTTGTGTGGTCCTCATCAGCAGATTGGTTTGTGATTCTGTGCACATTCTGAACATCTGCATTTACTTGGCAACTGTGCAAACTAAACTTCCTGATGCATTTTTATTTTTCTGATCTCGGTTTTCCCCAATCTTCTGCCCTGGCTGTGACACAAATCTGAATTTCTGTGTACGTGTTGCTGCTGTTGCTCGTCTCACTGACAGGTGGTGTAGTTGAGACAAGAACTGCAGGTTCTAAAAGGACTGAAGCTGTGCCGGGCCTGGTTTCAGGTGCTGCTGTTTTTTTTGTTTTATTGACGCTGTGTCCTTGTTTCCATATGTCGAGGACACCGTTTCGTACAACATCCTTAACGCACTCTTCACAGCGCAGCTTCTTGTGCATCAGCTGCAGTCGCCAGCGCAAGTGAGCAAATGATTATTGATCAGATCCTATTTCCTTCATACAAGATCCGATAAACTGATTAAAACTCTAAAGAGCAATCTGCTTCTTTGGATACTTTCCCTTTTCGATCCAGTCCACGGTGATGAACAGCGCACATTTGGTTGGATTTCAGCAAATATTGTTTTCTGATACGTATCAGGCAGCATGTGGCAGCCGAACCCTAACTGTGACTAATTTAGAGTTTGGAGAGTCGATATATAATCTCAGAGACTAGAGATGAAAGAAATAAATTCTTCACACTGAAAAAAGAGCTACAGCCGGGACTAGAGCTGATGTGGTGGATTACTACTCAACTAAAACTACATTAAAATGCATGTTTCAATCAGTTATAAATCACTACATTGTAAATACAGCCCAGGTGTTGGAGTTCTGTGTAAAGGTGCGCTGCAGCTTGTAGACCATTTATATTGAATATGGTGTTAACTAGTGTTGACAACAAAAGCCGTATCCTGCTTTCATGCTTGAAAGACGAGCTATCACTGCTCCTGTCTGTACATTTGAGTTCAGTTGTACAACTACAGACAACAAAGGTGTCCTGTTTTGTCACATTTTCTTACAAAATGCTTTTTTAAGTCTGTACTTTCAGGGGAACTCCACAGATTTTATACGTGAAAGTCTGTTTAGAGGTGCTGCTGAGTACCACCGCATGGACACGTAGACTTTGAGGTGCACTCCCGCTTGGTTTGTGAGGGCTTCGGGTTGTCCCACTGTCAAATTGTCAAATGCATGAGGGCTCCCTTACAGACGTTTGGAGCTCTCTATGCTCACTTACCAAGTCTGCATTTCTGCAGACTTTAGCAGAGGGAGTTACCCATAGTTCATAGCATCGTGCATTAAACATTGGCTTAACAGGGAAGGCCCAGGAACGTGAATTAGAAACTCTGTAAGCAAAAGAGCACAGAAGTTGCAACCAGTCTGTCCTGTTCCTGTTTATACTAGAGGGAACCTTTGCAGATTCTGACCCAAACTCACTCTGTGAGGTTGGAGTGATTAGGGCTTAGGGTGGAGATTCAGATTGGCTGTCCAGGGGGAGCTGTGTGAAATATGAAAAAATGTCCTCAGACAATGTCACTTAAGTCAGCCTAAATAAAAAACAAAAAAAAAGGTGCCAGGTTTTGATGTATAATCGGATTCCTCTGCTTCTGCTGTATGTTTTATGTGTGCCTTCAGTGTTGGGTGTCTTGTGGGGTTGTAGTTTCCTGTTAAAGGATCAATAAAGTAACTATCCTATCCTGTATATATTTCGATCCTTTCTTAAACTGTGAGTCTGACAGTGTTGCTGTTGTATTTATCAGTAGAGACAGTACTAGTAGCCTTCTTGCAGCTTTTGTATGTAAAACCAGCTCAGATTCCCACTGGCTTCACCCTGATGGGACAGACATGCAGAAAGCAGGTAGAAAACACATACATGAGTGTTGCTCTGCATGAAATCCCTGCTGCACCAATAAGGCTGAGGGTGTATAAAACAGGTGAACTGTGGGTCGCTCATAAGGGTGAGCATCTGTCGCCACGGATACTAAGAGACCCGTTTGGCTGGCAGAGTGAGAGACTCTGCGTGACCTTTACAGTTACACTGAACCTTGACGTACCTGGTTGACTCCTCCTACCACCAGGAGGCGATCTCTGATGACGATGGAAGAGGTGGAACATCTGGGGAAGGTCATGGGAGCCATCCTTTCCCACTTCTTCCTCTGAGGATGAAAGGCCTCCACTGTGTCCAGAGCTGAGGGCTCATGACCTAAAGAATGTAGGACACATAAAGACACACACATTTATCAAAGCCTTAGAACATATGTCTTGTTATACTTGCTGCTTTGCAGGAGATTCTTTAGAGGGAAGCTCATATGCTACAGGAAATCCAACATAAAGGCATAAAAATTACATTTAGCTTCATGATCAACAACTAATGAAGGACATGCATGTCAGAAAATGTATTGTACATGAGCTCTTACAGTTAAAAGAGATGGAAGTGTTTAATACTGTGGTGACCACTCGGACTACAAGCAGCACTGTGGCGGTTTGGCTAGCAAGGGACCACCATGACAAGACCTCTGTGCTGATTAATGGCTTCCGGCCAGAGCTTACATATTCAAAATAAATGTACCTAAGTGGTGCCTACAGTGGAGTGGCTACTGCAGTTAAGCTGTTTTTACGGTGACTGTCACGCTTGTAATTAAAGATAGCTATCTCAGCTTATGATATGATATTTATTTTATACCAACAATTACTCAATTGTTAATTAATAATGCTGTTGCGTATCCAGGAAATAGTTTTGCACCCTTAACTCAGACTACCTACACCATCAAGTAAAGCCCTGATTAAACCAGCGATTAATCATAAAGAATAACAGACAGAACATTTAATCAAAAGTCGCTCTTGAATGTTCTGGATTTCTTTTCTTTGCAAATATCGAATTTAACTCTGAAACATGACCCAGAGTGTCACTTACTAAACCCTAATCTAAACACAAGCCAGGTGCGCAGAGAACAAAATTGCTCAGCAGAATCGTGTTAATGTTTCATCCTCTCTTACCGAGTCCTCCTGCGACCACCATCCGGCCACGCAGGAAGGCAGCAGCAAAGTCAGCCCTCTTTGTTTTCATGGCCACGGTCTCCTCTGACTTCAACCAGGCGCCTGAGGAAGAAGAAGGATAACAAATGACAGCTGGAGTGAGCAACTGAGTGTGCTTGTATGTGCATGAGTTTATAAAGCAGCTGAGGTGAATTCCGGGGGGCACCGCAGTCCACCTTCAGCCGGACAGGATGCTGCTGAGTTTTCAGAGTGTGACCTGCACAAACAGGTCACCCACAAGGCAGCTGTAGCCAGGACATGTCCAGCAGACACACACACACACACACACACACACACACACACACACACACACACACCTGGCAAGGGCGCACAAAGGTTATAACAAATACAGACTGCAGACAGAGAGAGAGGGAGGGGATGGGAAGGTCAAACTACTACTGGGAACAAGAGAATGTGGAGATACTAATGTAGTCAGCCTGTTGGCTAAACTGAACCTCACTGAATATTAGAATCAGACGGTGATGAGTGGATGGAAAAGATCATTTTAAAACTTGTTGCAAATCACATTTTAATCATCAGCTGCCTTCATTATGTTACACTGTGAGACAAAAATGTAGGCAGCGGTGTGAGTGGTTTTGTTTGTAGCCCGTGTGCTTTGCTTTGGGTGGAGGGTGGAGGGCGGCCCGGTGGTCAATAGTTCATTACAGCCTCGAGCAGAATTTATTTTAATGCATTATTACAAGTTTGTAGCACATTGATTCTGATTTGTGGCCCAGAACTTGGTCGGTGCAGTTTCACGTATTGTTGTTTTTATGTGTCACTTGAAAGTTCTTAATGCAACAGAAATGAAACCAGTCAGTCACGCTGACCAGGATTCTCTTTGCTCTGTGAGTCATCCAAAGGTTGCATCTACTATTGTCTTTCTTCAGTGCAGTAAACACAGTGATACACATTGCTCCACAGATGCAAAGTTTGTTTACTGCTGCGGTCACAGAAACGCTCTCGTTAGCTTAAACTAGGTTATACTGTGTACATGAGGACTGGGATTTTATTAAAAAATAAAAAAAAACATCAAGTGAGAAATGCTACGAACTGCAAAGTTTACGAGATCTGCCTCAGTTTGCAATACATGTAGCTGCTGCCTCTGGATGGTGGAGACATGAATGAGCTTTTCTCTTACGCACACATCGGCTGAGCAGCTACACAAGACAACAGGGAGGTCAGACTGACTCCAACCCTGTCTGACCTGACTTCAACCAACCATCTCACAGCAAGAACAGGAGCTGCTTTGTCTGTTGTATTCAGCTGAACAACATGAAAAAGAAAGAGTAAACAAGTGTGTGTGTATGCAAGCTGGGGATGTAAATGTTGATATGTTTTCGGCAACATCACAACTGCAGGTACAGAACAATATTCCACACACTGATGAAGATATTTTAAGCCACGGACGTTCACCAACACAACAGTTTAATTGCACTAACCACTCAAGTATAGAAGTGGTGTCCTATTAACCTCTGGCTCCGTACAGTTAGGTGAGCGCTGGCTGGAATGCATTAACAGCCACCAATGTCTCTGTCATGGTGGTCCTTTGCTGGCTAAACCCCCACAATTCTTTCTACTTGTGGACTGTAGTTGGAGTGGACGCCTCCTTTGTTTGCTACAGTGGCAAACAAATGAACCGAAGTCTTCCATCTCATTAAGCAGTAAAAGGTTCTATCTTGTGGCGCCAACCAGCTTATCTACAACACGTTTGCACATCCTTTGTCTTCTGCCTTACTGGTTAATACATTTTTAATCAGTTAAATAACGTTTTAAATGCTAAATGGGGGCTGCAAGGTGGTATCGTTGCCTCGCAGCTAGAAGGTCGCTGGTTCGCGTCCCAGTGAGGACACCGGAATCTTTCTGCATGGAGTTTGCATGTTCTCCCTGTGCAGCGTGGGTTCTCTCCGGGTTCTCCAGCTTCCTCCCACATGGATGGATAGAGGATGAATGGATAGAAGATGGATGGATGGATGGATGGAAGCGTTTTAAAAATGTGATTTATCATTTCTGTGGTAGTGCAACCACACAATAAGGATGCAGAATTCAGTGCAATAATCATGACGGACATACGAAGCATGAAGCAAGTTTACTTTTGGAGCACATGTGCCGTCAGTGTGTTTGCTGTTCAAAAACCATCTGTGGCACGTGCAGTTGTTCTCATCAAGAAGCTCACTAATGAACAGGGGCTACTTTTTGTTCACTATCAAAACATGTATTAGCAGCTTTAATCCTCAAATGTTAAAACAACATGAACCACGATCCACAGGTTAGTAAGACTTTACAGTTTTAATTTAACTCCTTAATTACCTCGTACTTAAAACTGACAGCGTCGTCTGAAAACCTCTCGGATGTCGTCGGAATACAAGTGAGAGCCGAAGCACTCCAGGTGATAAAAACTCTATTTGATATTGAGGGACATGAAAACATAGCCATCAGAATAATGTTTCTCTTCCCCCAACAGATTCTGCACAAAGTTTTCTTTCTACTTTCAGACTTTGTTGCTGCCAAGTCTTGTTTATCTGAGGAGAAAAAACCCACACAGGAAAAAAGTGACAGAAGAAGAAAGATAACTTCATTAGGGAGCGAGAGAGAATAAGAAAGATAGAGACGGAACAAGAGAAAGAGAGTCTTACTCTGCCTTTGTCTATCTCTTCTTTCTTTGTCTCTCTCTTGCTCTTATCTTATTCATACTTATTTCCCCTCAATTCTCACAGTCCTGTTTGTCTTTTCATCTCTTTCTCTCTTTAGTATTTGTCTATTTCTTTCTAATTTATTTTTCTTAAACGAGACGTAGAGAGAAGAGGGTCGAGAGAAGCAAACAGAAGAAGTAGAGAGAATGAAAAAGAGATAAGAAGCCAGATGGTGAGTCTACCTGTCTTGCAGCAGTGTGTAATGAAGAGCTGTGTTTCTCTTTAGCTACACTGAAGGAACAGAATACAGATTACAGCTGGCCGTCCACTCTGCTCGCTTTTCTTCTCGGAGGAAAATTCTCTCGTCTTTGTGTAATTTACTCTCGTATATCATCAGTCTGTGCAGTTCAATGACTCTCAGCAATCAAGAACGAGGCTATACTACCGAAATGCATCAGCAATGTTGAAAACTGGTGTCCCAAAAGCTAGCATGGAGTGTTGGTTTAGTTTCTTCTGTATTGATTATTTGATAGTCCACAAGATGCATTTTCTTTTCTCTTCGCTCTGGGTCGTGATAGTTGGTAACAGCTTATCTCTATGTAGGACCGAGTTAATGTAGTGATCTGGAGAACACTTTAAAAGTTTGAAGTCAAGGCCATCTGGTGCAGCCAGCTCGGTCAGCTGATCCGTCCACCACTTTGAACCACACTTGAATATCTCAACAACTCTTGAATTGCCATGAAATTTGGTGCAGACGTTGGAGTTCCCCTCAGAGTGAGTTGTAACAGACGTGGTGATATTTCATCATATTTCATCAAGTCCAGTCCTACCAGAAAAATAACACACCACATCCATTTAACTAAAATAGACTGCATAACTCTCTTAGACGAATCAAAACTGGAACTGGAAATGAACTGAAAGTAAGGATCAGCGTACTTGCATTGCATGTTGTTGTTAGCATTTAGCTTGTGTAGCGCAGTGGTTGGTTCTCACCTCCGCTTTAGCATTCAAGCCAAGAAAAAAGGTGCTAAAAATAAAAACCACGAAATGGTGTTTCCATAAAAAACCTCATGTATCTGATTTTTATATTTCACTTCATTCCAGATACTGAAATCATGCAACAGTCTATGAAGAATAATGGCTTGGTTTCAAACAGTTGGTTTAGTGTCACAGGCTAATTGTTGCCTGAAATTACAATTGACTGACTGATGGTATCCACTCCTCTGAGATAGAGATGCAACAGCAGGCCTGATTTCTCTGCTCTTTGAAGGGATTACACAAGTCATCGCACCAAGATTTTCTTTGTGGGACGCCGGGAAAACACCAGCGCGCATTATTCTGCTCTGGTGGTGGACGGCAGAGGAGAATAAAGGGACAGAAGCGCAGAGAAATTAAAGAGAGCGGGAGTACAGACGGAGAGAGGGACAATAGGACGAAGTAGATGAGGCAATTCTCTGAAGACGGGGCTTTGTAGTCTTTGTGGTGGCGATTTCGTCCACAGCTCTCCTCTGTAATTGTCCCTCGTGATTTAAACTAGAAAAGGATGGTGATTGGATCTTGGTCTTTGATGGATTGTGTCTGTCACTTGTGAAATCTTGGACTCTGCTGACCGCAGAGATGATCCTTTTGGACAGAATGCATCTCACTATGATGTTGTGGCATTTTTATTGATTATATATTAGCCCAAGAAGGCAGACCACTTTTGCTCTGTTCTCATTTCTGCTTCATTCTGTTTGCTTTGTTGTGCTCGAGACCTATTTTTTACCATCTCAAGACAGAAATAAATCAAATACACACCATTACAGTGCGGCCTCAGGGGCACTGCATCATTTGTGGTTATTGTTAGCGCTAGATTGTACTGAATGTGCTTCAGCGGGACTGATGAAAGTGTTGCTTTGTTAGATGCAGTAAAAACAGCAGAATTAATTGCTCGAGATGAGGATTTATTACAGTAAGCAACTGAATTAAACATTTTAAATCGACACATAGACGTCGATTTACATTCATCTGGGCCTCATAGCTGTAATTTAGAGACTGTTCAGACAACTGTTTTTGAAGTTCGGGCTCAAGTAAATATCCTATTTTATTATACTATTAATTGAGGTAGATGGCAAAAAGAAAAATCTTATTTCTATATTTTGTTGGCAGCTGTGAGGAGTACAGATGGCAGCAGAAATCAGTTAAGGGAAGCAATCCAGATCATTTCCAACACCTTCCAGTAGGCTGTTTTTTTTCTTTTTTTTAACGAACACATCTGTTTTTGGAATATAAAAATGTACAGACAGCTTTCTGTTACACCCCGGAAAAGGAGCCAACTAAACGACTAAAAGTCCCTTTTATGCAATCCTGTTTGCATTCCCACTGCATCTGAAGTGATGTAAAGATCTGAACAAAAACGTAAAGACAGCACGTGACAGTTAAACTAATTCCATCCTTTTTCTAAACAAAGTTGTTGTTTGAACACACAGCATCTCGACATGGACGTCATGAAACGAGCAAGTAAAAATAATAATGGGCAGATGGAGACTGATGTCACAGAGCAGAAATCACAAGCCACTAACAAGTGTGTCCGCCGTTTGCATCACGCATCTTTTTGACACTCAGTTAATGAGGTTGCCGATGTTTGTGTAACGTTGCCCCACTCTTCCTGAAGGCCGCCGTGAAGTTGGCAGACGTTTTCAGGGACAGGATCACATTGTTGGACATCCAGAGCCATCTGAAATGATTTCTTAGACAACTAATGGTAGAACTGTGGACCTTCGGGTGGTGGGCTGTGTTAAGTTTGATATGAGACATTAACAGTCACACCTTTGCCTTTTGGATCTACTGCTGTGCAACAAATGTCTGAAATGACAAAGACTGGAGGCATATTTCCCAACTTCTATTTGTGTTTTTGTGCACAAGAGCTTAATTCCTACTGTTCAAAATTGCATTTTTTTTGTCACCTCATGGATGCTTTAGCTCTGGTTTTTGCCACTCAAGCAACATAGGAGGTTAGTGGAAGTTGTAAAATCATGGTTGCACAACAACAAAAAAACAACAACTATCAGTATGCAGGACTCTGAATCAAACAGGGATCCACTCTGGGTGCTGCCAGTAGCTGCCAGTTGTTTGGTAACTTTATACCTTTATAGAGCCTCTAATCTGTGAAATGCTTGAAGCTTCGCTGTGCATGATCCTAAAACTGAACAATATCAAAATAAAAGCTTATTGTCTTGTTTTGCCACAATCGTAGGCGTACCTGTCCTGCAGGTGTAGCCAGTGCACAGATACATTCTGCAGCACATCCACTCTGCCAGTGGTCCACATATGTTATGTGTTCAGTATAACCACCACGTAGGGGTCATATGTGGTCTGATGAGAAGAGCTGCGTATGTGTAAAGCATGCAAAGTGGAATCATTTAATCTGTCCTATTTTATTTGGTAAGAAAGCAATTGTTTGTTTATTGTTTAAATGAGGGGGAGGGCACTCAGGTCTCATCAGAACAGCATCAGAACAGCAAACGGACCAGGACATATACCACATTCGCTATAGAAACCCCCTGTATTTTCATCTTTGCATATCATTAAACCACTAAATGGCAAGTTTATGGACTGGAAATTCTGTTTTTGGGTCTGCGTCGGTCCACTCCTGCTCCACCTGTTCAGTAATGGCAATCAAAGGACATTAAGGAAATTGCCATTACACTGAACTAGCTCTATGAGTGAAGATTGAGCTTCATCCAAACTGAATAAGGATTGCTTTCACTGAGAAATTACCATTACAATATCGAACATGCTTGTGTTTGTGTACCTCCAACAAGTAGTTTCCAGGTCATTGAAACCTCCAGAGCAGGGACTTTTTCAGGGGCCAGGAACAGTCGCACAATAACTCTTCAGGTCGATATACAAGCAAAGCCCCTGAGTTGAAGCTGCTGTGGTGGACATGGGCAAACTGTGCTCACAGTTTTGCTGTTATTTGTTCAAGTTTTGAGCTGTTTGTCTGGGATTCCTGCCTCGACCACAATACAGCAGTGAGGTGAATGGAATTTTCTTCACACTATTGAAGGCAAAAACTGATAAAACCTAGACTGGAGTAAACCCCCACGAACCGTCTCAATGGCAAGATACCGCTGGACGACAAAGATATTACTTTGGTAATTTGGGTGAACTGAACCTTTTAAGCAATTTTCTGAAGTCCAAATGCGTTATTCTCTGGTCACAGCTCTGTTCTTTGTGTTTTCCGTGTACCTGTTGCAGCCTGCCGACGATGCAACACTCGCTAACAGCCGTGCGTCTTAATACTGGAGATATGGAATGGAACAGTAATAGAATATCGCTGTGTGACAGCAGATTGCATGACTGTGTGTACGTGCGGAGCGATATTGCTGCAGATAGATAATAAAGCAATCTGTTTCTGGATCTTGTAATTTAAAGCGCTCCTCATCTCCAACCCTCCCTCAGCAGCTCATCTCCCATCTCATCTCCGCCAAGATTAGATTGGAGGAATGGGGTACGGCTGCCGACCCCGTCCAAGTGTGTACGTGTGTGTGCGTGCATCTGTATGTGCACATGTGGGCTTTTGTTTGTGTGTCGGTTTTCTTTTCATCTTTCGTCCTCTATCTCTCAACACACGCACACGGCAAACTTTCTCCCCATTATCATACATTAACATTATCGCTCCCATGTCCTGCTGCTTTATTTGGGTTTCATTCGACCAACCCTGAAGTGTGACCACATATCCAGTTGTCTAAAATGACTTATTGATTTTTGCTCTCCCTTTTTTCCCTCCCTTCCGGTCCCTTCGCAATTTGTTCACCTGTTACTCTGGGGTGTCTTTGCCAGATAGAGGGGAAAGTCATCTCATTCAGTCGTGGGACGCAGAGTGTGAACAGAATTGAGAGGAGAACGAGCCTGCTGGAGGAAAACACCTCTTATCTCCACCGTGAGGTTGATGCTAAAGGCTGTTTTGTATGACAGCGGGATCAAAATAAAGGTGGATAGTGTCAGTGACAAAATAAAAAAATGCATTAGTGACTTCAAAGACTGGTCTTTTATGAATGTAATAATGGGAAACTTCTGGGAAGAATGCCAGTCATTACTAAGGAGAGTGATATGACAAGACAAGATCAATGTCATGTCTGCGCATTATGAAAATGAAGTCAGGAGGTGTTTAACCTGTGGTGCTATTATGAACAATGTCAGCCCAACTGGATGCATCAGTTGGAGCAGGACACATGACGGATGTTAGAGGCCGTGTTGTTGAATATAACACACAGCAGACAGTAAACACTACATGTTTGAGAAAGCCAGTGTCATTTACTAATGTAGCCCAGCAGTCATTGTTTACGTCTGTGGATGCTGCCTTGTTGGCTGACATCAGTGCTCCTGACTCATTATGTGTATATCAGGGGTGTCCAATCCTGGTCCTGGAGGGCCACAGTCCTGCATGTTTTAGATGTTTAGATGTCTTCCAACACACCTGATTCAAATGATCAGCTCCTCATCAAGCTCTGCAAAGGCCTGATAACGATCCTGATCATGTGAATCAGGTGTGTTGGAAGAGAGAAACATCTACAACATGCAGGACTGTGGCCCTCCAGGACCAGGACTGGACACCCCTGGTGTATATAGATGCCTTTTAAAGTCCTCCACCTCTCTTGACCGTTTGTCCTTGTTCTTGCTCCTCGTTCAAGTAACGTCCTGCGTCTTTTATTCGAGGATTTGAAGGTATCTCGTACCACTACTATGCTGACGACATCCAGCTGTGTGTTTCATTCAAAGCTGAGGAAACAGACAAACTGATAATGTTGCATAGTTGTCTGCAAGCTGCTAAGGACTGGATGATCAACTAAACAATTAGCTGCAGCTTAATGTGGACAAAACTGAGGTTCTCATTGTTGGTTCAGACGTTACAGCCTCTAAGGTGGCTCTGTGTTTTGGGTCCCAGTCTATGCACTTTGAAAAACAAATCAGTTCAATATTACTCACGTGTGTCTTTCATTTGAGAAACACTGCCAGACTCAGGTCCGCTGTATCACAGCCTGTGTTAGAAATGATAATTCTTGCTTTTATTTCATCCTGTTTTAGCTGTTGTAATTCCCCTTTTCACCTCAACAAGTCCTCTTTAGCTCGTCTATAATTAGCCTAGCAGCTGCTGAGAGGCTGCTAACGATATCCAGCAGGACGTCACACATCACTCCCGATTTATACTCTCTACATCGGCTCCAGTTAGGTTCAGGATTCATTTTAAGATTCTTGTTGTTGCATACAGAGCTGTACAAAGACAGGCAGCCCAACCCTGGTCCTACCTGTAAACCTTCATCATGTTGTCTAAGTTGATGCTTTTGTCCCACCTGTTATGTTCTAGGTTTTTAATCTGTATGCTGTAATTACTTTTAATATGACTATTTATTGAGCTACCTTGGATCTGCTGTTGCTTCCTTTTTTATTTTCTCTCTTTTTGTTGTCTTTATGGGCTTCTGTTGGTTTTCTTTGTGACTTTGTGCTGGCAAGTGTGAATAAACTTTTTTACTTACGTTTTTGTCTAAATATTCAGATGTACAGAAAAAGACAGACAGGGGTGTATATGTTTCCGTACCTTGGTTGGTGTCAAAAATATTGACGTTCTTGGTGAACTTGGAGCTTTGGTGTCCCCCGCCCTGCCGCAGTCCTCCTAGCAGACATAGCCTCCCAGCCGAGTCCCATATCACACCTCCATACGAACGTTTACATGGCATCATGGGTAGCGTAGTCCAGGAGCGTGTCTCAGTGTCGTATACCTCAAAGGCCTTCACCGGTCGCTTACACTGACGGCCGCCTTCAAGCAAATAAAATCACTCTTTGATATGCTTAATAGTGAAACACAAAAAGCGCAGTGAGAACAGTCACCTTGGTCTGTTCGTACCTGCAACATACAGCTTGTTGCCCAGCAGATGGGTGTTGGCATCGTAGCGTGGCGTCGGCATAGGAGGAAGTAGCGCCCATACATCTTTTCGAAGGTCATACTGCTGCAGGATGCTGCGAGGGAGCAGGTCAGCACCCATTCCCCCTACAGCCAGAGCCCGACCATCTGCACACAGAGACAGGTGTATTACCATATGTGGCTTGCATGGTAAAGCCGCAGTGTTCATCATTCCAGCAGATCCCAGTTAATGGCAGCACCTCACTGGCACTTTAGTTTATGAAGTGCTGAAAATTTGCAGGGCAGCACACAGAGTTGGACGAGAAGTCGGCTTGTGACAAGGCAAGAGACTGTGACAGACATGGTAGGAACAGGGAGTACAGCAGCAGAATAGAAATGCAGCAGTCCATGTCTGGCACTTTGGCATGACACCTCCAGCATAAGAATGGAAGTGGAGGAGAGTGTTGGAACAAGAGAAAATGCAGCGTTAATTATCAGAGTGAAGAGGCAAAGAGCTGCAGGGAAACAATCTGCATTTTTATTATGATATTACATTATAAGTGTTTTCATATGAAGCAACCTTCTTCAGATTCTAACCTCAAAGCATCTACATTACCAGCATAAATAACCAGTTTCCAAAACACTTTATATTCATTTTGGGGGAAAAGAATGGCTCATTACCTGACGTTCATTATCTAATATCTGGAAAATAACGATCCTAAAAATGTCAATAAAACTGCATTGTGTAGTCAATTCTGTGACTGACTATCTATTCCAAAATACCATATTTGTTTTAATCTGGCTCTATTGATAGTTTTGTCAGACTATTTGTCTCGTTTTCAGTTGCTGGGTATGAGTTTGGGGATGAAACTGCGAGCAAAGGGCCGCGGATCGAAGACTGGTCAGGGAGATGGAGTGAGCAGTATGACGAAGCCTATATATGACCAATAAGTCTGCGTATACAGCATCTATCTATGTTCCAGCAGACACTGACAGATGCACCGCTGAACACAAACTCATCCACGGTCGGAGAGAAGCTCTCTGATACTGACTGCAAAATGTGAGAATAAATCAGAACACATAAATTGCTCCATTGACATCAGACAGGCAAACTTACCTACGGCTTCTTGGTTAAAATGAAATTGTACTTAAGGGATGGTTTGAAGTTCACAGTGCAGTTACTCTGACTATTTACACTCCAGTAATGTTTTGGTCTTTTTTTTTAACAGTAAAATTAATGCTGCATTTTTTTTATCACCAAGAAACATGTTTTCAAGTCCTCTGTTGTGTTGGTAATAACGCTAATATTACAGCTGAACAGTTAAATATCTATTTAAAGATAGGATTTTACAGTCAAGCTTGCTGCGGAACAGATTAAAATGTGATAGAGCATTACCCCACGAGACACCATCACAAGTGTGACTGTCGCACAAAGACGACGGCATGAATTTGTGAAAGCACTTACATGTGAGTTTAAACTCAGACGAATGTACAAAGTGTGCTCATTAAATATTAAAACCGGGCTTATATCAGCGGCCTGAACCATGTAGGACACGTACAGTCTATAGGCAGCACAAGCACACCCTCATTTTTCAATCTGCTCGTATAAAATTAAATACAACCACAAAATGTGTCTCATTACTCAATATCCACACCTCACATAGCTAATTGTTCAGCCTGAACACATGCACAACATTTCTCCAGCTACACAATGTTTTTTATTTTTTGCATTATGACACATTTAAAACGATAAACATTACTGAAAAATGCCAGTTTATGTGTCATTTATTTGAGTACATCACCTTTATCTGTAGGCACCATTTCAAAGATGATCAAATGTTAGCCTGTTTAAATATAACACAAGTGTTCGTCCCCACAGAGATGTTATAGTAAAAACATAGAAAGCTTAGAAATCATCACTGAGCTAATGCTCCAGAACCTTTCTGTTTAAGCACTTGTTGATGGCTTCTCTCTCCCACATACGACTTTCCTTTTTCATCCAGTCCTGATGAATAATGTAGTACACATCCTGCTGCCTAGGAAATATATTTGCCATAATCCATAACGAATCTCATGTTTAGGCTTGATATTTTTAAGCACTCGATTAAAGGAGCTACTTAATGAAACACCATGAGAGGGTAGTGGACTTATTTTCTTATTTTAAGATGATGGAGGGGGTGTTTCTTTCACAAGCTGCAAATAAACTGTTTTTCTGGACAGTTTTTAGGAGTTTTAACCCACATGGCTAATTATGTTTGAGGTATCCACATCTTTCCAGTCTCGTTAATGCCTCACTGAGGTGAACCTGGAGGTCTGGCTGTTACAGGACGAGTCAATTTAAAATCCTGGGTCGTGTTTATGCACCACTAAAACATGGTAATAGTCAATATGTCATAATCCATACCTTTCACCGTGATGGATACACCCATCAGCGCCTCGCGAAGAGCGCTCCTCTTCCTCCACCTCCCTTCCTCTGTGTTGAACATCTCCACCACCTTCAGAGGACTCTGGTCTTCTCCCACTCCCCCCACAACCAGTATCTGCTTTCCCAGCACTGCCACGGCTGCACCAGCACGAGGGCTGGGCATGGGGGGCAGGCTTAGCCAGCGGTCCCCCTGCAAACAGGGAACAGAAGGACACGTCAGCTGTCAAAACATCTGCCGACACTTTGTGACTAAACTCATTTAAATCTGTGCTCAAAATAAAAGCATCAACAGATCGTCGTCTGTAGCTTGTCTGTGAGAAACACTTCGTATCGTACAGGACAGAGCAGATGTTTCTTTGAGGCTATTTTACTCTCCTTATTTGGTGCAGCTCTTCAGTGCTGGGTTTGCTTTATATATACACAGCTGGTTTATCTCCAATTTAAGCTCCAATAAGCTGATTTGTGACGGCGTCTTCAAGGGGCTTAAATCTTATTTATGTTTAAATAAATCAAGTTCTAGCGTGATTTCAGTTTTCAGCGTATTCACTACATTACTGACATTTTACAGTGAGCTTGTGCTAAATTAACTAGTAACAGGTTCAGGACTCCATTTGTGTCACACCTCAGGGGAGTAGAGCTCCAGGGCCTGGCATGGCCTCCCCGCAGCATCGCAGCCCCCCAGCATGTACATCTGGCCCCCCACCTCACACAGAGTGTGGTAGACGCGGCCGCTGGGCAGTCGGGCCAGGCTCTGCCAGTGGAACTCGTGGGCACCAGGCACCGCCATGGCCTCAGCTCCACAGGGTAGACTCGCCAAGGCTGGGGAGGGCAATGGGGAGGCTGAGGCCAGCAGTAGGGGAAGTTTCGGGGGTGGACCAGTCAGGGGAAGATGGAGAGTTGGAGGTTCTGTATTAGATTGGAGACGTGAACTGGACGCAAGCGGTGGGAGTCACATCAGTTAGATAGCTGGCTGAAGCTCCTCCTCTGATTGGACCCTGGGAAATAAAAGAAAGGAAGATGATGAGACGAGAATGGACGTAGCTTTGTCATACAGAGCAGAGCATGAAAATGTAAATCACAGCAGCTTACAAGCTGTTACCAGTAGATTACAGTGACTAAAAATTAGGAGGCTTCAGAGTGCATCACTAGAAATATCCTGTAATATCTAAGGACTGTACTTGTACTTTCGTTTTTACTACATTTCTGGAAAAATCTAGTTCTTAAATCCTGTGAAACGATAAAGACACACCTTTAACATTTAAACCATCATCGACCATCTCATTACATTGTTCTGCTCTCTGGCATTATACAGGGAGAACAACAAACAGCTCAAAGCCTTGACTGCAACTCCAAACTCCCCACATGACGATATGATCAATCGTATCATGAACACACCACAGGATTCTTATTTTTTTTTAATGAGGTCACATAGCGCCCAATTCTACAGCATTTACAGCCGATGCTCTTCTGTCAATGCTTGTCCATATACAAACGAGCACAATTCAACAAGTAAATATGTACAAAACAGCACAAACCACAAACGATACGATTACCACGGAGCTCAATGACAAGCATCAGATCGTTCATGACTAATTTTCTGTATAAAAGCTTTTTCCGCCGAGGGGTGGGACGGCAATGCTTGTCATATCATAAACAACTTGACACTCTGTTTTGTGGCTAATTAGACAAATTGCTGTTTTGCTTGTTTGTCGGGGGATTGGTGGCTTTTCAGGAGAGACACTTAAATTGACGTATTGTGACGTTTTACTTTGGGAACTCTTTTGATACGTGATTTTGAGATGGCATATAGGTTTGTTGTTTTTTCTGCATCGCTCACTACGTTTGACTGACGTAGAAGTTTCATGCTGTTCACTATCCAACTAAGAATTAAGTTTGAGGACCTCATTGTGTTGCTTCTTTGTTTAATTTTTAGCCATATGCACAATCTGATTTTGTCTTATTATTCACATTTAATTGGTATTTTCAACCACATTCCCGCCCATATTTTCAACTTAACCCATAAAACATTTTGAGGATCCTCTAGAAAGGTAGAAAAACATTTCCCTCTTAACACTTCCCTTATATATCTGTCATTAAACTTACATTTTAGATTTAGCCCCTACTTGACAGACTAACAGCAGACTAACAACACAGATTAGAGAGAGGAGTAATGTTTATGAAATGGGACGAGGAAGCTGGAGTTGTTGTTGATCCATCCAGGCGCCCAAATGAACTCTTTTGACATTTCACAAAGATATGTGGCGCAATTTTGAGAGGATGGCGAGCTTGACATTTGTGAGCGATAAAATTGCATTTGAGACTCATGGCAGCAGATTCAAGCTGCGGTAGTTACTGACTTGTGTTTTTCAAAAAAGTATGAATGTGAAGATATTCTAAAGGTGTGAAACTCTCGTTGCATGATTTCAAATACGGATTTTGGATGCATACATTTCAT